TACAGTTCCTCATGTTGTGGTGACCCCCCCCCTCCCCCAACCACCCTCATGAATCCTTGATCAATTATATTTTATTATTGTTATTTCGTGTCTTACACTGTCCGTTGTCTCTCTTCACCTAACTTTCTGGTATTCATTCCCCGGGAGTGGGAGGCGGGGCTATATATTCAAGCTTGTGATGGGTTCCCCCTTTCTCTCCTCTTACCCCCCACTTTTCATTCTTAATTACTAAACTTAAGAAGAGCTGGGGTCCTTCCGGGAGGAAGATAGAACAAGAATGAAGGAGAAGTGAGAATAAAAGTTGGTTGATAGCATTTAGTACTTTTTTTCTTTTTAACATCCGATAGTGATTTAAATATTCACTATAATAACAGTTGCTTTCTTATCAGAAACCAGAGACATCGTTCCCTCCTAAGTATCTTCTATCAGCTCTCTTTTGAATCGATCAAATTGTCTTCACCTCCATTACAAAGGCTAGTGCTTGTCATCTGTAGTCGGACACTTTAACCACCTCCTTATTCTTCTCCGGTGTCTTGTCCCTCACCCTGTCCCAGCTACGTCTGCATATTGTTGCTGGATTGATTTAATTCTAAAACTGCCCCCGCTCTCCAGTTTTGTAAAATGAGGTATAAAATAACACTGGAAAGTACACAGAGGCAACTATACAGCTTGGCGAATTTACTTATTGTAATGACTCTCCAGATCAAGATCTGGAGCCCCTCCAGAACCACACACGGTCCCCATGCTCCCGGTTCTAGTGAATAAGGCTCTTCCTGCCAGAAGCAATCACTCTCCAGACTTCCATCACCATTGATTAGTTCTGCCTGTCCTGGAAACACAGAAAAATGAGATCATCCAATCTTCTGTGTATGACTTATTTTGCTTAAGGTCAAGTCTGAAATTCAAATGTTTTTGTATACTTCGGCATTCATATCATTGTTGTATAGCTTTCTTTTTTTTAATTGCTGTGCAGTATCCTATTATAGAAAAATAGGCTACAATTTGTTTGTCTACTTTCCGTTTCCATCACTGCCTTAGGGGTGGGGGTGTCATGAATAGCTGGGTATATTTGTACTTGTCTGGCGGTAGACAGACACACTCAATTATTTTGGCTGACTTTTGGTGAGTGTGCATCTTCTTTTCTCTTATCATTTTAACAATATATTTGAGATACTGGTCTTGGTCGGATGTACGCCATGGAATCAGTTCCTTCCTCGTCTTTCTCTTTATGATGTCTTAAGATGGCATTATTAGTCTTAATGATAACCAAGTTATTATGTCTCTCTCATGCTCGTGGTTTCTGTTTTTTTTGTTTAGGAATCTCCTTGGGGTCCTGAAGCTATTTCCCCATTTCTTTGTATAGTACACTATTGGTTTGCTTTTGACTGTTTAAATTTGCTTCCCTTTTGAATTCATGGTCAGCAGTTCGAAATCACTAGGAGCTCTGCATAAGAGCGGCTGGTCTTTCTAGTCCCTTGAAGAATTACACTCTCGGACACCCAGAGGGGTGGTTAGGAGTCAGCTTGGACTCAGGGCACTGAGTTGCGTTGGGTGTGACGCGAATGAGGAGTCAACACTCATTTTGTGCTGGTTGTTCTGAGAGCTTTTACGGAAAAATCCGCTCCGATCCCTGCGTTTCAGTGCCTTTTCCATCATATTTCCAGTGCCCTTAGATACGTGTCTGGTTTGTCACTGCACTCTAGTCCATTGGCATACTTAGGAGTCCCCAAGAGGTGCATTGCCACAGAGTCACTTTGCTTCCAGCTCCTGGGGACCCCGTGTTTTAGAGGACACTCTCCGTGGGGGTTGCTGGGCTCTAATCTTTACAGAAGCAGAGCACCAGGCTTTCTTGCACACTTCTGCGTGGGTTTGAACTACCAAGTTTTAGGTTCTCAGTCCAGCACAAGCCATTTGCACAATCAAGCCACCTATGTATCATCCACTTGATCTCAACCACGGCACTTACAGTAAGTGTGATAAACTGGTCATGTAAATCTCTAACTTTCCTTTTCTTTGCATTCCTCTCTAAATTTTGAAGTCAATTACCAATCTCTAAATTAAATTGTCTGATTCATACTGATCCTATAGGACAAAGAACTGCTCCTGTGGATTTCCGAGATGGTAACTCTTTATAGGGGTAGAAATCCTCATCTTTCTACAACTGAGTGGCTGGTGGTTTTGAACTGCTGACCTTGCAGTTAGCAACCCAATGCATAAGCCACGATGCTTGCAGGTCTCCATGGGGCCACTGTAGGGTCACTCCGAGTCAGAGCTGAGTCAGTGGCAGGGAGATATAAATGTGCCTGAGTATGTATGTGCATACACACACAATCAATACCAATAATAAGGGAGATTTAAATGTTTGCTGTGTTTAAATCATGGAGGAGGATTGTTGTTAGTGTCAAGTAGGTTTTGACCCATAGGGACTCTGGGCAGCTGCACGTGCCTTGTCCCAGTACTGCTCTGTCCTCACAATTATAGCAAAAAGAGCAACATTTTAGCTCACAGGCTCCTAACACTTATTTGGCCTTTTTTACTCAAAAGATTAACTCCGTGTGCTCTAGCAGTTAAAATCATTGTCCTTTAGTGCATTTTCCAGGATACGGTGTAGCTCAGCTCGCACGCACATCCAGTTGATTCTGACTCAGAGGGACCCGGAGACCAGGGTAGAACTCCCCTGTGGGTTTACACGACTGTAACCCTTGAAGGCAGTGGTTCTCAACCTTCCTAATGCCGCGACCCTGTAATACAGGTCCTTATGTGGTGGTGACCCCCAACCATACAATTATTTTCGTTGCTACTTCATCACTGTCATTTTGCTACTGTTAGGAATCGGGCGACCCCCAGGTTAAGAACCGCTGCTTTCAGGAGTAGAAAACCTCGTCTTTCTCCCTCATAGCAGTTGGTGGTTCCAAACTGCTGACGTTTTTGTTAGCAGCCAATGTTTATCACTGTGCCACCAGGGCCCAGGACACGGATGGGTGCCACCGAGTGGCATTTCCATGTGTTGTGCAATGGGTGCTATGATTCTGAGCAAGCTTCCTGGCACCCAACAACAGTGGCATCATCGCCATCCTTGTTTGAGAACAGAACAATGCACAGACCGAAGAGCACCCACCGCCTTGGTCCTGGTGATGTGCCCGTGGCACCTTTGACTCAGGAACGAACATACAAGTTGGTATCTGCTGTGTGAAAGACTTTTTCTTGTCTGTGTTCCCGAAGGCCGCGGGACAACAATCAAGTTAAGCATACCTGAGCCATCTGTAAAACAAGTTTACTTGTGTTTATCTCTCAAATATTACCGATGTACAGTGGGAAGAGTCAAAAAAAGAACAAAAGAGGATTGACCAAATTACTATTTGACACAGACAGAGCACTTAAACCTTCAAAGTGTCCATTTCCTTATTTCTAAAATACAATAATAAGATCCTCCCAGCTTCATACGCTAGTTTGTGTGATATGTTGTTTGGCAGCGCTTCATAAATGGATGACAGTTGTGTCATCAGTGAGATTTTTGTACTGGAATCAGTATGGATACACTATTGTTTTCTACTTTTTTGTTTAACACTGTTTTATTAGTATATTTATATGAATTAATACAATCTTCGTGATGATCATTTTTGAGATGGTCAAAATCTCAAAATTTCACTCAAAATCTCAGAAGTTCATTCTTATGCTATACCTATTACCCCCCGGCCCCCGGCTTGTTTTCGACATTTAGATGTACATTAACTATAGGAAAAAGTAAATAAACTTTCATAAACCTACCTGTTATTATTTATACCACCCCTATTATACAGCACAACTACAACTATACCAGCACTTATTAATAATGTGCTACAGTTATTCCGTGCATATTGTGTGCAGACAACTATGATTAAGAATGTTTTACTTATCAGTTTCTTTACATAAATCTAGCAATGGCCTGTTCCAGTGGCCACATGCAGTTATTTAAAATGGAATTCAGATAACTAAAAATTAAATAAACTATCCATTCAGCTTTTTCATTACACTAGTCACCCTTCGGGGGGTTCAGTAGCTACTTGTAGCTGTGGACGATTTTCTTGTACTTGCAGATCGGGGACATTTTCATTAAAGCATTATCTTTTTCTGACTCCAAAGCACACAGGCTTACCAACTATATTGAACTGAAGTTCTGTTTCCATCACTTTGCAGTTTATTATCTGATAATCCAATCTAACAATTCTTGTAGAACCTAAATTAAGGTTTCACTCATAAACATACTAGATTCTTTGGTACATGTAAGTTTAAACAATCCCTCGGTATTTTATTCCAATCTAAGACGTCATCAACAAGTTTAATCTTCTCTGTCTGATAGCAGGAATGCTTTTAATAAACTGCAGGTTTCCAGCTCTGTTTCACATGTTAGGGTTTGGTTTTGTTTTAATGGTAACATACGGGAACATAAGCATGTCTTCCTCTTTGCATTTAGCAAAGCATTTTTCCTTATTATCACTTCCTTTCACTCTTCAGGTCAGTCCTTGAAGCTAGTTTAGAGAAAGATGTTTTATTTTGATTTTACAAATAACAAAAGTAAGACTAAGAGAATTTGAGGAACATGCCCCAATCATATGGCAGATGGTGGAGCTGATAATCAACCTTTCTCTTTAGTTGTTTTAGCTTTGTTAATCACCAAGTGTAAATCATGGAAATAAATGAGAGAAACAGTGATACATTGTGTTGGGTGGGAAGGAGGGAAGCAATGGTAAGTATGATGCAAATATAAAAAGGAATATAAATGCATAGAATATTGAATAAATCCTCAGCGAATGAATTGTTTTAAATACAATATGACTGCCAAATGCAAACAACTGAGTTATAGAATGGATTTAATTATAATCAGTGGTAAGGAAGTACTCTGTTACTAATCTAATTAATGTCTGGAGATAAATATTCATTCATTCTTTTAATCAAGGAAACACAGGTGGTAAAATCTTGTAAAAATCCCAATGCAATGAAATATTTTTATTCTTTTTTTTTTCTAATCTTTTTTTTTCTAAGTATCATTCTAATACTTAATAGGGGTAACCGCTTATTTAACTTTAGCCAATCTCAAAAGATAATGTAGAGAAAATTTAAAAAATAATTAAAGAGCAAGGAATTATTGGTTTAGACTTTTCAACCATGGAGTATATCTGAAACACCCTGTCAACTTCAAACTGGAGCCTTATACTAACTCCCCTCCCCATCCCATTATTTTGTATTTCACACTAGTGACTAGGGCATGGAAGGAAATTGGAAGGGTTGGCTGAAAAATGCACTGTTGAGGTTTGACTTCTTCGCTGTCCTCTTTTTCTGAGATTGAATGCACAAACCTAATGATGATTGCATGATAAATGAGGGGCAAATTGAAGTGTGACTCCAGCTAGTGAAATGCTTCGGTGCGGGAAACGTTGAACTTGACACTTCCAGCTCCGTGAATTGTGCTCCCAAAATTTAGTTACTCTGGCAACCAGTTCCCTTTCATCAGGCGACTGCTTAGAATCTTTATTTTTTGTATCCTTTTATCTCTCGCTTTCTTTTAATTAATATCCAGAATGTTAAAGCTTAATAATGAAAGTTTGATATATTTTCTTTTCCGATCATTTACAAAACCATCCCTGAGTTTCTCATGAAATGCCTCGGTCAAAAGCATTCATCATCTACTTCCACTGTAGTTTTAGATTTTTTAGAAATAATAATGACTTAATAATCTTAGGTAGAGTTATTAATAGTAAGTCTTAGGTTTCACTTATAATAATCATTTCCTGTGTGATGAAGGGCCTACATAAGCTCTGAGTGGTGACTAAAAGCATTATATAAGGCAAAAATTTAGCAAAGTGCTCTTTCCCCATTACTGTTCATGTTCATGTGGAAGCACAATGTTTACCAGTTTCAAATATCCACGTGAGTCGTCTCTTTGGATCAGCCTACCAGCAATGCAGTTGGCCAGTTTTCATATTTCTGTGAGTTCATTGGCAGTGTTTGTTGCTGTAAGAGGTGACTCATGAGACCTTATCTAGTACACAATGAAATGTTGCCTTGCCCTGTGCTGTTCTATAATCAAGAATGCGTCTGAGGCAAGTGTTCAGATGGGATGGGGGTTGGGACGGTGGCTCCTTATATTGGATGGTGTTCGGTTGGGATCCATAGGCTTTCCAGGGACTAATTTCAGAAGCAGATAACAAGCCTTTCTGAGTAGACGCTTCAGTGAATCATGTCTACCATGGATGACCCTCTTGACTGTGAAATGCCATTGGCCTAACCACACCGACTGCTGCAGACTGAGTAGACTGAATTCAGTAGGGTTAGGTAGTTTTCCACTGCATATCCTTCATAGAAAGAATTCCAAGTTAAAGAGAGAAGGGGAACTCAATGAGTTAGATTTGTCATTGTGAAAGTCCAGAGCAAAATTGGCCAACATGTCGAGCTGGTACCATCATGTTGTCTGCTGGAAACCAAACCGATGCTCAGTGCACATTGCTTTTGTTTGTTTGCTAAAAATGGTCTCTTGTAGACACGGGTGACATCTTTTTAATATCTAATATTTAATATCTAAAATGTTAAAAAAAGAGAATTCCATATCACACAACTGTTTATCTGCTTTAAAATCCACACGCTGTCTTAAGTTAAACAGGCTTCTAGACAAGGTAGCAGACTCTGTTGGTAACTGATCATTTGAAAAGCGTACATTGTCCCACGTGTTAGCATTCTGATTCAGTACATCATATAAATGCCCTCTGAATAATGCATGTCTTCTACTTTAATTACTTGTTTAATTAGCGTTAGTTTGTTGCAGTGCCTAGAGCCACTGCTGCTGCGTGGATGATGAGGAAATTGCTTCCAGTTGCAGAAATCTATTTCCTGCTGTTTCCGCTGGCAGTGATTGCGGACCGGCCTCCCCCAGTCATTCGACAAGGACCGGTGAATCAGACTGTAGCAGTGGATGGCACCTTAGTCCTCAGCTGTGTGGCCACAGGCAGTCCGGGGCCCACGATTCTGTGGAGAAAGGATGGAGTCCTTGTTTCGACCCAAGATTCCCGAATCAAGCAACTGGAGAGTGGGGTGCTGCAGATCCGATATGCCAAGGTACCGTGAAATGCGACCCTGCGCTGCCCATTTTCTACCACTTCGTGTTTGCCTCTAGCAATAGTGTTGAAATCTCAGGTTTTAAAATGAATGAAAGGCTAACTAACAGTGTTAATATATTTTTAATTTGATTCTTTATTCTCCCAGACATTCCACTGGGTATGTTTAGGATGCTTTGACTCATAGTTTAGCCCATGGCAAGTAGTTTAAGGTTTTATACTAGGGGGAAGCAGTCTAAGACATATTAATTGAAGAAAGTAAATGTAACCCTCAAGTAGTGGTATGATGCAGTCATTCCATCCCTCCGGCTTTTTTTGTTTGTTTCAAAGAAATACTCCAGTACCATTTTGTGTCTAGTGTAGTCTAATAGTCCTTCTTATATTTGGCTTCACAGTTCCAGAATACTAGACTGATAACACAAATATTATAAAGCAGTGTACGTATTGAGTATACATTTCAAATCAGACCTTTAAGGCATGAAAAGCCCAAGAGGTTTGTGGGATTAATTTCTGGAGTTGCCCTCCCAGGGCATCCTATACCCCCCCCACCCCACCCCCACCCCCACCCCCACACTCTCTCAGGTCTGTGTGGCTTGTTTTCCCTTTTCTTTATAGGTCAAGACGAGACAGGCTCAGGAAGCATACAAAATAGTCGTCTTGAGAGCAATGAACAAATTTCCACTGCTTTATTGCCAACTGTGGGTGGCTTCTTTGGAGTTTGGATCTGCGTAACAGTTCCTTTAACGTGCCGCACACATTATTATGTTGTTCACTTTAGGGCGAGTGTTGTGACTGTGTGACTCCAAGTGTCCGAGCAAGATGACAACATGCTTGCTTTTATCTCTTAGTGCCAGGCCATGTAGATGGGTTTATTATGCTGATTTCATTTTTAAAAATCATTTTATTGGGGCTCGTACAACTCTAATCACAATCTATACATCCATCCATTGTGTCAAGCACATTTGTACATATGTTGCCATCATCATTCTCAAAACATTTTTCTGATGTTTTCTCAAAACATCATTCTCAAAACATTTTCATTTCTACTTGAGCCTTTGGTATCAGCTCCTCATTTTTTCTCCTCCCTTCCCGCTCCCCCTCCCCCATGAACCCTGGATAATGTATAAATTATTATTGTCATATCTTACACCATCCAATGTCTCCATCCACCCACTTCTCCACTCTCCGACCCCCAGGGAGGAGATTATATGTAGATCTTTGTAATCTGTTCCCCTTTCTACCCCACCTTCCCTCCACCCTCCCGGTATCACCACTCTCACCACTGGTCCTGAGGGGTTCATCTGTCCTGGATTCCCTGTGTTTCCAGTTCCTATCTGTACCAGTGTGTACAGCTGATGGTGATTTTAAAGTTGTTTTTGTGACACATTTGTTTATTTGTTTGCTTTCGGGCATTTAACCTTCAGGGGCAGAATCTTCATTCCAGTTAGGATATAGCTTTATTACAGTTAAGTGAATAAGTATGAAGCTTAGGTTATAGGTAAAATCTATATAAAGTAATACTGAGGAGTAAAAGAGTGAATACTTTGAGAAGAAATCCCTTCATCCCTCTCCGTGTTCCATGAATTCATGTTTATCTCAGATATCCCTATCTCAGGTATACGAGAGAAAATAGCAGTCATTGACTCAAACTAATGACCTTATAATGTGATTATAACTAAGATTATCCCGTGAATTTAAGAGACTAATATGACCTAGTAATTGTTCATGGCCAACATTGATAATATTATGTTAATGTTATTAAATATTAGTTCTTTTTAAATTCTAAAGTGAGAATATGTACGTAGAGTTGTCCCCTCTTTGTGTATTATTTTTTTCACCCCCTTCATTCAATAGAAATAGATTCAATTAAGAGGAAGATTCTGGTTAGAGAATTTTAATGTAGTTATCCATATTCATGGACCATATATAAACCTGTAATTGCTTTTCCAGTCCAGTGAGCTTTTGATTGTTCCAAATATTTATTTTCATCTGTCTCCTCAGCTGGGCGACACTGGTCGGTACACCTGCATTGCATCTACCCCTAGTGGTGAAGCAACCTGGAGTGCATACATCGAAGTTCAAGGTAGATTGGAACATTTTACCAAAAACACCACAATTGTTTACTTACAATACATTAATTAGGTATCCTGATATCTTAGTGGATATGCTATCTAGGTTTGTATGCTTACATTTTTATCATATATATCTAAATAATGCCCCCCCCACCCCATGTCTTTTTCTCCTTTGTTAGAATTTGGAGTTCCCGTTCAGCCTCCAAGACCCACCGACCCAAATTTAATCCCTAGTGCCCCCTCAAAACCGGAAGTTACAGATGTCAGCAGGAACACCGTCACATTGTCATGGCAACCCAATTTGAATTCAGGTGCTACTCCAACGTCCTATATAATAGAAGCCTTCAGGTAAAGTGAAAATGATTTTCCTTCAGAGGTGTTGTGTTGTTTTGTGTTGAACCGTTAAACACGCATGTTCTAACGTGTGTGTCTATCCATAGCCATGCAGCTGGCAGCAGCTGGCAGACGGTAGCAGAGAACGTGAAGACAGAAACGTTTGCCGTTAAAGGACTCAAACCTAATGCGATTTACCTTTTTCTTGTGAGAGCGGCGAACGCCTATGGAATTAGTGATCCAAGCCAGATATCCAATCCAGTGAAAACACAAGGTAAATATTGATTTCCTTAACCTGTGATACACCTACTTGTGCATAGGAGTTGGGATTTTTTTTGGCAAGTAATTTGTACTACATGCTAGGATTGTATGTGTAACACTTCTGCCATTGAACCTGCTCCATTAGTGTTTTAACACACAGCATGTGACTAAAAACTTTATTATTTTCTGGACTAAGCATAGCAAGAGTACACCAATAAGAAAATAAAACACTCTCCTATCAAATGAGAACCCCAAAGGAAAAAAAATCATCTGATTATTGTGTGTAACAAATTTAACTTCTAGATATTTAAATAGGTAGTAGAAGGTTGTACGTTGTTAATCATAATCACACCTAAACCTAAGCAAATGTCATTTATGTTGAGATTCAGCACTCATAACTCTGCGGATGAGTTTTCAGAATTACAGCCATGATACGTCAGAAGCTCTGGAAATCAATCATATTGGCTCGATATTTAGAAGAAAACCATCGTAGAGTTCCTCCTGCTTGTGTCTAGTCAAATTCCTACAAAGCATGGAGATCCATTATTTGAGATCTTTATGTTTTCTGGACTATGTGAGTGGGTACCCCAAAAAACCCAGTATTGCGTTAGGCAAAGGTAAGCTTCGCTAGTACACATTTTTCCCACTAGGTGATCAGCGAGCAACTTCCTCTGAGTTAGTGCAACCAATGGTGTCACGTAGGAAGGTTCTGTCTGGTCATAGTGAATTTTTTTTTTTTTAAAAGAAGTTTTTCTGGAGCTTCGTTTTTTATGATGGCAAATTTAAGAGAGCAACATGAGGCTGTGAAATTTTGTTTCCTGCTCGGGAAAAATGCCACAGAAACTTGTGATGGTGAACACAGCTTACAAGGGCGGTGCATGGAAAAAACTCAAGTGTAAGAGTGGTTTTCTCGTTTCAAAAGAAGTGAAATGTCAATTGATGACAAACCTCGTCTGGACATCTGTCCATTTCCCAAACAGACGAAAATGTCAACACATAGTGAATTTGGAGTTCATTCCACCAGGTCAGACTGTTAATCAAACTTTCTATTTAGAGGTTCTGAAAAGGTGGTGACCAAAAAAAAGCCTTAATCTGTGGCAGACGGACTGGCTTTGCCACCATGACAATGCACCTGCGCACGCAGCCATCACACTGTACAGATTCTGGGCAAAACACAGCATGCCTCTCTTGCCCCACCCATCTAATTCACCTGACCTTGCTCTGTACGACCTCCTTTTGTTTCCACAAATGAAGGGAGACACGAAAGGACAGTGATTTGACGCCATAGAGGAAAAGTGAAATAAATAAGAGAGGTGCTAGCAGTCAGCCATGCAAACTTGAAACATGTTTACAAGAATGGAATCCCAGATTTGAAAAATGTATTAAGTGTAATGGAGAGTACTTTGAAGGTGATAAGGTTGTTTTCTAAAACAAATTTAAATACATAGCTTTTTTTTGGTGGTGGGGATTCCGTGTTTTGGAGGTACTCCTTTGTTTGTGGGCCGTGTTATAGTAAATAAATTGAAAACACCTCGCTTTTGGTTGAAGCAAGGTAAGAACTAGATAAAAGGAAAAGTGGTCTTATAAAAAACTGATTCTAAAACTTTTGAAACTGGATATTTTCATAAATTGGATCCCTTCAGATATACGCTTTCTTTTTTAAATCGTCTTTTGTGAGCAGAACTTAGTTGTAGTTCTCAAGAAATAGATTTTTCTCTACCATCTTGTTCACCATTTTCTCTGGAGAGAAATAAGGTATATACATTAAAGAAGAGCGAGATGAAACGGAATCAGCCTTTGCATTTCCATAAATACACTGCCTGTTATGAATACACTTCTTTGGATTAATAAAGAAAATTAGTTCTTGAGGGAAGTGGTTGGAAACAAAACTCTTTTCTCAACCTGCAGAGGGAGCATATTGTCTCTGTCGTGGGTCGTCTTTCTCCTAAGGAATACTTGTAAAGGAAACACTATGAAAGAAACTTGTGGCACACAAATTACAGAAAGACTTAAGTTACTTGCGCTCTGTTTGGGGAGAGGGTTTGGCAGCCATCTTGCCTGTTTTGTCTTCTCTGGAAGAGGAGATAAACAATCTCGTTGGAAAGACTGCCTTTTTTTAGATTCACAAAGAAAGCAAGCTGACTTGTAGAACATGCCCACGTCTGTTTCTTGCTCTGTGACTTTAACACACCCCAATGCCTCTATTTGCTCTTATGAGTCACCACCCCGGGAGCTTTCAGATTCTTGGAGCCTGCCGTGCGGCAGCGTGAGGTTTTCAGTATTAGATACGCATTGGTAAGGCATGCAGAAGGTTTGACAGCTGTAAAATGAATCTGAACCTTGTGTTCTCAGTAGAGCAGTGTCTACAGGGACTGAGTTTTAATTGACCACTGCCGAACATTCTCTCTGTCCTATCTTCATTGTCATTTTTTTGGTAATATATATATATATATATATATATACACACACACACACACACACACACACACACACACACACACATATATATCCACACATACTCACATACACACCTGAATACACATAAATACACACACACATACATATCTAGGTTCATTTTCAAGTAAGAGAGCACTTCACATTTTATCTAAAACTACATTCGTGGATCATTTTCATTCTCATGAACTTCACATTTGAACATGGAGCCCGAGTCCCTGAAATGTTGCATATAGCACCAAAGCACTGGTATCAGATGGCCCTGTTTTTGCACAAACAATAATGTGTGTTTTATTGACGTCCAACGACAGTGTTCCCCTAGAGCTTCAGTTTCCTCATCTGTCAAATAAGTCTCAGCTCAGGATTATGCAAAGGTTACACTGAGAAATTCAAGGCCATCGGCTTTCTTTTGTTTGGGGTCGGCTTGCCTACTGGGTGCCACAAGACACTGTTTGGGGCTTTGTCTTTCTCTCAGTGTCTGGATTAAAAACATAGAATGTTCATAAAACTTGACGATGCCATCAGCCTGAGAAAGGCAGGTGGTGTGCTGAACGAGATAAGCAACGTTTGAAGATACCTTGACAGATTAAAATAATGGGCCAGCACTAACAAGATTAAAATGAATGGAGCCTATTAAAATGCCTGGTACTTGAATGTAGGTTTAAAAAAGCAGCTGAAGAAAGATGGACCGAGGACATGAGGCTTAAAGGGAGCATTTGTGGAGTGTTTGTTGGGGCTTGGGGAGGGGCAGACTTCAGAGTTTGAAGTCAATTAAAACACCTATCTGTGCCAACTGAGTGATGTCGTTGCCAGAAGAACAACTGTAATCGTCTGAGCCAGCATTAGCAGAATTACGTCTGGATCAAGTCTTCTGCCCCAACTCCTCATCATTTCTCTACACGGGTCCAATTCGGGATGCGCCCTGTGTTGAGCTCTGTGGGTTCAGAGAGGTTTGTGGGACTTTTAAGACGCCTAGAGGAATCCAGGGTGGGTAGTTGCAGGAACTGCGTGAAAGTGAGATCAGATGGGAAGAAGTTCAAGGGTGCTGGCCCGTTTAGCCCAGGAAATAGCAGCGTGGAAGGAGGATGCGATTCTAGCATTTGGCAACACAGTGGCACCGTGAGAAGTAACACTGAGCAGAGTTCCTGACGCCTTGGCCTGTGCTTGAGACACCGGGAAACCTAGCTGAGAGTCAAGCTGAAACCAGCTGGGACAGGCACTTGGGAAGGAACCGGTAAAGACCTAATTGGAGGCTACCGCCCAGCTGAAGCAAGGAGAGGAAGCACCAGGGAAAGACTGAGTGGACATCAATCCATGAGGGAGCAGACATAGCATCTACAACCATTTTTGGAACTGGGTTGCACCAGAGTCTTCCCCAGGTGGAGATGCCAAGGCAAGAAACGGGGGGATTGTTTCAGGCACACAGATTCACAGGCCCGGTTCCCACAAAGGAGTCTTGGTATTTGCCGTTGAGGCAATTCCAACTCAAAGCGACCAAGAGGGTAGAGCAGCCTGTGTCCTTGCTACAGGCTTGTCTTGGCTGTAAACTTGATAGGAACAGATAGGTAGGTCTTTTCTTCCACAGCGCCCTTGATATATTTGAACCTCTGACCTGCAGGCCAGCAACTGAGAGCTTAACCGTTTCCCCATCAATAACCGAAGTTACAGCTAGAATTACATTTTTCTCACTGGTGTGAAATTTACGAAAACATGCTAGACCACTATTGCCAACATGTTTATAACAGGCAATAGGCAGGGGTAGTGGTGGTGACTGTAGCAATTTTGGGGAAGGGATTGATGGTCAGTTTTAGCTCTAACCCGAGAAATTAGAGACCGAGATTTTCATCATGGTTGTCGTCCTTAGAAATGGTTGTGTTTGAAGATACTTCCTGAAAGGCCGAAGGTTCTCGAGGATTCCCTTGTCTGTGGGAGAGAACTTGTTTAGAAGTGAGTGTGCTGGGGGCTGGCACAAATCATTCTTGAGCACATTCGTTCTGTGTGACACTCTGCAAGGTCTCCTGAGGCCACCGAACTGAAGGCAATGTTTGCCTCGAGAATTACTTGGTGTGACTTTGTTGTTGTTTTGTTCTCTGCCGTCCGTCAGCCCCAACGAATAGTCGCCCCGTTCACCACAGCTTGGGCTGTTGTGATCCTGATTTTCTGGCAGTTGATCTCCAAGCCTTTCTTCCTAGTCTGCCCCCGGCTGGAAGCTCCCTGAACCCTGTGCAGAATCGTGCGCCCTGCCAGAGGATCGTCAGCGCAGCGGTTGTTCCGAGGAGCTGCCCCTGGCATTGGACTGAGGGGGAAACAGAAGACCAGAGAGTTTAAGAGCCGCCTGTGTCACGTGTCGGTTAGGTTCCAAAACTGGGCTGCATGAGCAAGACCATCTATTTCAGTGACTTCACTGGGAGGGGGGTAGTCAAAATGAGAAGCTTCTGAGATGAGGAAGGAAGGAAAACATGCCTGAAAGACAGACAAGATGGAAACCAGTTGGTGTCTGTGTCCCAGCTGTGATAGTACCTGCAGGTGAAGGACAAGCATTAGCCAAATGTCTTTCTACGGAATGATAAAAAACGAGGAGCCATTCCTATCTGGTTTCGTTCTCATTTTGCTGACTTATAAGTTAATGTATATGTCAAAGGGCTTCCAAAAGTTCATGGGAAAGTTCACTGTCTTTTCATTCGACTTTTCCGTGAACTTTTTAAAGCCCGCAGGTACATCCCACAGTACACTTACTGTATACCATGCAGTGTCTAATACCACTCTGGATCCCCTTCTGCTTCCTTTCCCTGAGCCGCGTCACATGAGGACCACCCTCACTGGACATGCAGGCTTCCCTGGGAGATTGGGTGGCAGGTTCACACCGGCGCAGTAAAGCAGCTATCACAATCAGGGGAGTCACCGTGATTCCGTGTTTCCATGCACATATGAAAGTTATGTTTACACTGTACTGTAGTCTAAATGTACAATCATCACATTTTGCAAAGAAATTTGAAGTATTGTGAGAATTAGCAACCTGGGCCCTGCTGGCGTGAGGGCGGGGGGTGGAGCCTTTGACCTGCGTGATGCAGATTTGCTGTGAGCTCCCATTTGTAAAAAAGGTAGCTATATGAAGCTCAGTAAAGGAGGTATGCCCAGGTTCGTGTTTTTGCTTTCTGTCCAAAGTCCGTTCTTGGGAGATAATAAATTTTCAAGAAACATTTTTATACTTGCTGTTACTGAGTTGGTGACTGATCATGACTCCATCTTCAATATAATCCTATCGTGGGAAGAATTCTAGAGGCTCACATTTCTGGGTTGGCCTCTCATCCTCTCCCTGGTTTCCTTTCACTACAATAAATAAAGCAAAACATCCTAACTATAGAAAACCTCTGCAAGCCCCCTGAGGTTGAGGCTCTTCCAGCTCATCGAAGCACACACCCCATCGGGAGTCAGTCGGTTCTGTTTCCCAGCAGCCGTGTGGGGCCGAGGAGAGCCGCCCCCAGTCAGGTCCCCAGGCTGCAAATCTGCACCGGGAGCAGGAAGCCTCGTCTGTGTCCTGTGGAGTGGCTGGTGAGTTAGAACTACCGATCTTGTGGTTAGCCACCTCGTGTGTAATCTCTGCCACCAGGGTGCCTTACTCCAGCCATGTTGCATTGTCGTTCTCTGGTGCCGTGAAGTTGGTTCTTGAGACCCACCCTATGTAGAGCGGAGCAAAACCCCACTGGCGCCTGTGCCGCGCTCACAGCTGCTGTGTTGGACACTGATGTTGCAGCAGTGTGTCAGTGCGTCTTATTGAGGGTCCTCCTCGTTTTACTGACATCCTACTTTACCAAGCATGGGGGCCTTCTCCTCAGACTGGCCTTGCCAGATAACATGTTCAAAATCCATGAGACAAAGTCTCACCATCCTGCTTCTTAGGCGCAGTGTCTGTACTTCCAAGACAGAGTGGTGTGTTGTGCTGGCAGTCCGTGCGTGGTACTCTGAATATTCTCTGGCAGCACCTTGACTCAAATGCATTGACTCTTCTTTGATCTTCCTTACTCAATGTCCAACTTTCACATGCAGATGAGGTGATTGAAAAAATACCATGAAAAAATACCATACAGGAACCCCCAACTTATCTCCAACTCATAGCAATCCTGTATAGAGTTTCTGAAGGTGTAAATCTTTGTGGGGGCAAATAGCCTCATCTTTCTCCCTGGGAGTGGCTGGTGAGCTTGAACTGGTGGCCTTGTGGCTAGCTAGCTATCCAACACCTGCCCCACAGCATCACCAATTTCTTCAGATACCAGCAATTTTTTTTTAATACTAACTTTAATAAGTTAACACACTTCCTCACTGAGGAAAACGTTCATCATAACTGAATGCTCGTAGCAGTGTCGTTCTTAGGGTATCTGAGTACTTGAGAGTAAGTTACAGCAAACCAGCTTACTGTAATGCACTAACAAAACCAGCATCGGTTAAACATGCCTGCCTATGTAGTACTTGGTTCTCATGGATCTAATCCATTTTATTTCACTTCACATTTTAGTGGTTTCTGTATTTCCCAAAGTCGCTGTTAACGTGTCATCCTCAAGAGTGGGAACGTCGTCCGGTGCATGCTATAGGATGGGAAGCGCATGCTTTTTCTTTTTTGAACTTGGCTTTTCACCAGCATGCCTTCAGTCTTGTCATTCCCCACCCACTCCGCGATGTCTGGGTCAGTTCTTTTGGGCAGATGGGATCGTGACAGAAGGTTAGAGCAAACTTGGAAAGGATTACACAAGATCCCTCATTCTTGTCAAGGAGGATTCATGACAGGGTGGGAGGAGCCATTCGATGCCGCTGCTGACCTCGGTTCTCGCAACGTGCCTCCTGCCTGCTCGCTGTGTCTCCCTGTATGTCCCACTCTTCTGATCCTAATTTTAAAATGCTCCTGGCTTTGTTTTGTGGTTGTTTTCTCCTCTTTCACTATTCCGTTTCCTAGCCCCTGTGATGATTTTCCTGGGAGTGGCAGCCACCGGGAGCAGGGTTTCCGCCCGCTTTCAGCCCCAGCCGGGAGTAGCTTTTGTCGGACCTGACATGGTCTCCTTGCTTCGTTGCAGATGTTCCTCCGACGAGCCAGGGCGTGGATCACAAGCAGGTGCAGCGGGAGCTGGGCAACGTGGTACTGCACCTCCACAACCCCACCATCCTCTCGTCCTCGTCAATCGAAGTACACTGGACAGTGAGTGCTCTTCTCGTAACGTAGCTGGTCCCAGGTTTAAGCACCAGGTGACGCCTGGGAGCTGTTCGCAGATGAGACCTGGAAGCCGTGAGATCGGCTCATTTCTGTATTGCTGCACGTGTAGCTGTGTGTCGATTCTGACCCCCAGTGGGATGAAGTCGACCTGGGCAGCAATCGTTACAGGCGCGGACCGCTGGGCTTCTCGCGGGAAGTGTTGGCAATGCCAGCCTTTGCAGTTAGTGGTCGAGGGTTAACGATCATGTCACCAGGGCTCCTTCCTAGATATCGATCAACGCAATGGTGTGTTTCCCCTTCAACAACGGTAACTTGGTAATGTAAGCACTATTTACTATAGTAACTGGCTGTACACAGGTTTCAACTGGTAGATGTATTCTGTTTTCAGCATTAATGAACTCTTTATCTGGGGTTGGGGGTGGGACACATACAAACTATTCGATAAGAGCATGTAACCGGTGATAAGACCATTAAGGCATGGATTTGTAAAAACTGAGATATTTCGACAAGGTATTAAAGTCAGGCTTGGGGAACCATCAGTCACAGGCCACCCCAGTCACATAGTTCATTGCATCCCCCCTTACTGTGATGGTCAGAACGGCTCCCCTTTTGTGAGACGTGCCATGTTAGCTGGTATCGACGATTTGGGGGGGGTCATACTACCTGCAGGCCAGACATACCCCTATTCGTGCTCTAGATGATGTGTTGGAACCGTGGTGATGCGGACAATACTGTAGATTGAGTGGAAACAGTGTATAGCTTATAAAAGATTGTGTGTGAGTGAGTGCCTCCATGTCTGTGTATATACATACACACTCATCCTTAGTATCTACGTACATCCAGTGATGTATAAACATGTATAGCTTTATTGCTCTCTTATTTATTTATTTGAACTTGTGTAGCCTTGGGACTAAATTGGAAATGCTATTTTTTCCTGTAAGAAATTTGTTCCCCAATCCCTTGTAAACCTTCTTTTAGTCTTTAAACTAAATTATAGTTCTTAATCATTGAATACACAGTCATGTGGGGTGGGTTTTGTGTGTGTGTGTGTGTGTGTAAGTGTGTTTAACATTATTTATAACAGCGATTCTCAACCTGTGGGTTGCAACCCCTTTGGGGGGCAAATGACTCTTTCACAGGGATTGCCTGATTCGTAACAGTAGCAGCATTACAGATCTGAAGTAGCAATGAAAATAACTTTATGGTTGTGGGGGTCATCACAACATGAGGAACTGTATTAAAGGGTCGCAGCAGTAGGAAGGTTGAGCACCACTGCTCTATATGAACTGGAAGAATGTAAGGTGAAGCCAGATCTAATTTTTTTTCTGTTTTGTACTATTTAATTTCCATTACTTTCCAATAGGAATAGACTGAATGATTGATTGTTTGCTGTTTTAATAGGTAGACCAACAGTCTCAATATATTCAAGGCTACAAGATTCTCTATCGGCCATCTGGAGCTAGCCACAGTGAATCGGAGTGGCTAGTCTTCGAAGTGAGGACCCCAGCCACAAACAGCGTGGTTATCCCTGAGCTCAGAAAGGGAGTCAGCTATGAAATCAAGGCCCGCCCTTTCTTTAATGAATTTCAAGGAGCTGATAGTGAAATTAAACTTGCCAAAACCCTGGAAGAAGGCAAGTAGAATGAAGTGAGGGGCCCAGTGGCTGTATATTGTTTAGTTTCTGGTGCTGTGTTGTAAATTCTCAAAATGTTGACGTTGGCATTAATTATTAAGTGGCCTTATAGGGAACATTGTCTTTTGATAAGAGGTTTGTTTAATTAGAAAAGTGGCATAAACAGCCACATATTCATAATGCAAGGGGGCTTTACCTAGTTGGTGTCGAAATTTCATTATTATAAAATCCCATTTTTCCCACCGGGTGGTATTATAAAGCCCCCTTGACTTGCTTTATAAGCCTCCAACATCAAAATGTGCAAATGGGGTCACCGCGCTACTTAATGGTGTGTCTATAGGGTGTATTTGGTGATTGGGAACTAAAGTTCATCTAACGAAGAATTATTGGAAATTTGCTTGTCTTCCTTTCCACTTTCTCCCCCCCAAATATTTCTTTTAGATTCACAGGCATGTAAATAATGTGACTTACTTGTCTTGATTTACCTGGGACATTTCAAGTGGATTTAAGTATTTACACTCCCTTATCCTGGTAGACCCCTCAGCTCTTAAGCCTACTGCAATAGCTTGCCCTACTTGTTAAAGCCATGCATATTTTTTATGAGTTGTATGGGTATATTTTAATTTATATGTACAAGTGTAAACTTAAGTATATATTTAAGGTATACATACTATGCATTTCAAATGTATAGTGTCGGCTTTCAGTGTTCTCTAATATACCAATACTAATTTCCTTTTTTGAACCATTGATTAGCACCTAGTGCCCCACCCCAAGGTGTAACGGTGTCAAAGAATGATGGAAACGGAACTGCGATTCTTGTTACTTGGCAACCTCCTCCAGAAGACACTCAAAACGGGATGGTCCAAGAGTATAAGGTAAAGACAGGCCCCCGCATTCACTAATGAAGAAACAATAGGAAATCTGATGAAATGGTTTGTGGATACCTGGCGCCATCTTCTGGTCGACATGGCAACATGTAACATGACTTTGGAAAAAACTTGGAAAGAACACTGGGGAAGTTGTACCCCCTGGTCCCTGTAATTAGTCACTCACTCACTTGAAACTAGGATTCTTTAGGTGATACATAGCCCCTCCCCCTCACCACCCTAAATAAATGCCACACTACTTTATCTGTATGTAGGGATTGTGGAAGATTATTTTGGGAGACAGGACATTTTAAAGTAATGAATTTACAAGCAAGAACTCTTAGGTTACAAAATACATAGTCAGATATTTTGTACAAGCAAACGTAGATTCAAATAGTAAATCTTTATTTGTACCACATATACCTTAAATATATCTGGAGTGAAATTTTTTTTAACTTGTGGAATTGGCTTTAAGTCATATTAAATGTACATTTTTTTTTGTTTTCCTTTTTAGGTCTTTGAAGTTTTAAAAGCTTAAAACTGCTACATCCAATAAATTGGATGTTATTTTATGATGTAAGAAAATTAATATTTTTCCCTATGAATTTTTTTAGTCTTTAAACAAAATTCTGTGCCTATTAGGAAATTAGATTACAAATCGCTGTATGTATAAAGTTTTTAAAATATATGATAGACTGCCAAGTGATTTAATGAGTCTGAATAATGATTTCACCTGTGAGTTCATCAGCTTTGTTCAGTGAGCATGTGAATCTTCCATCAATTCACTTTGAACAAATATTCACACTCGTGCCTGCGTACAGCACGACCATGTCAGAGCCCCGAGCTTCCCGCACAAGAGTGGAGTCCCGGGGCGCAATGGTTCCACGTGGGGCTGCGATCCACATGGTCAGCAGTTGGAAACCACCCACAGCTCCATGGGAGGAGAGAGAGTGGACTTTCTCAGAGACCCATAAGAGGTTGCTCTGAGTCAGCACTGACTCCGTGTCAGTGAGTTATCAGTGAGTTCATAGAGACCTCTAGGGCAGAGTCGAACTGTCCCTGCGGCTTTGCAAGACTGTTGATTTTCATGAGAGGAGACACAGCCTAGTCTTTCTCCTGTGCAGCTAGAGGGTTCCAACTGCTGACCATGCCTTTAGTAGCCCAAGCTCGTAACCCACTATGCCACCAGGAATCTTCATGGGGTTACCGTGAGACATAAAACTGATTCTATAAGAGTGTTTGGTTCGCTTTTTTTTTTAGATCCGTGAATTTGTACTGTAGCATTCTTCATGAGCAGTAGTGATAGCAAGGGGTAAGATTTGAACAAGACAACACTCAGTAGGAAAATAGATAGGTTGGTCTTATTCTACTCGTACTCTCTAGAAGAAATTTAAGACAAACTATATATACTTCTCTAGATATTGCCTTAAATGACACGATGGATATTTTTTCTAGTTGATTGCTAGTTTCTGGTAGCAGATGATTCCTTTATGTGGACCTTGTAAACCAGTGTTTCCCAAAGTGGGATGAAGGCTGAGACTAATACCTCCCTGGATTATGGTCTATAGCAGAGAACTTTTTCATTGGGATGAAGGTGGTGAGGTGGGTTTTGTTGTGTTTTTTTCTGAAAAGAGGATGGAAGGACGAATCAGCTGTGATTGAAACCCTGCTTAGACGGTTGAGTCATGTGGCATGGTAGTTAGGAGTTGTGCTGTCATCCCAAGGTCGCCCACACACTAGCCACTCCTCCGTGGAGAAAGGTGGGACTTTCAGCTCCCATAAGCAGTTACCGTCTCAGAAACTCTCAAGGGCTGTTCTACCCTGGCCTGAAGGGTTACTTTGAGTCAGCATCCACTTAGTGGCAGTGAGTTTGGTTTTTTGGTATAAACCCAATTACAGTAGGGGTGGGGCGGGGGGCATATCTCCTTTCTACACTAGTTGCCAAATCATAAAACCAAACTTACTGTTATTTCCAATTCCTTACGACCGTGGAGAGCAGGGCAGAACTCCCCTGTGGATTTCCTAGACTAACGCTTTACGAGAGTAGAGAGCCTCATCTTGCTCTCCTGGAGCGGCTGGTGGTTTCAAACTGCTGACCTTGCGAGTAGTACCTCAATGTGTAACCTTGTGGTAGGTACTAGTGACTCTTAATGACATGCCAATAACAGAGTCCCTAGCGGACATGCCCGCCACATACCGCGCTCGTCCCTCAAGATTAGGGTTCAGTAGTCCTCATGAGGGGCTCGAACCTGTAATATTTTGATACAACTTTGCAGGTATTGATGTGTAACCCTATTTAACCTACTCAGCCACCAAGTTGGTTCCGACGGAGAATGACCCTATTGGACAGACCAGAACTGCCCCCATGGGATTTCCAAGCCAGTAGTCTTTATAGCACCAAACTGGCACAGCCTCCTCCTAAGGAGTGGCTGGTGGGTTCAAACTGCCCAGCTATCGGTTAAGATCCAAATCAAGCTACACGTGCTATTTTAAGTGGCAATTAGTTGATATAGTAACTAGATATGAGTCTGTGTGGCATAGTGGTTAAAGTCCTTGAGTACTTACTCTATGGTCAACGCTGCAAATCCCCAGTGGCTCAGTGGGAGAAAGACGTGATGTGGGCTTCCATGCAGGTGTGCAGTCTCGGAAGCCCCCGGGATAGCTCTAATGCATCCTCTAGGGTGACTTGGAGGGGGGTTGACTGGATGGCTGTGTGGTAGTGGGTAACCAGGTCTTCTGAACTTGAGTATTAAGTATTTAAAAATTATTCTTAACAGCAAACAGACTACTTGTGAAATTTGTGTTTACTTTATAAAGGACTACATCTTTCTGGCACTGTTTTACATTTAAAACCATGGCAGAAATGCGCTGCAGGGTGTTTTAAGGTATTTCCCACTAGATTTGGGGTTCGAACTGAGCAATTAAGAAGGCAAAAATCTTTACTCTTTTTTAAGTGCTTTCTCATGAGCTTCAAGGTGATTTCAGTAGGGGCAGGATGCTGTGCTATGGCTCACCCTAGAAAAAAATAGGACCGTTAGAGACCATTTTAAGGATTTAAAATGAGGCGATGTCTCAGTGCTCAGGCAAAATTGTGTAATGCAGGCATTTCCCCCTAAGAGTCAAAACTCATTTCTTTGCTGGAAGAAATGTGAAAGGGTGGATTTCACTTAACTTCATGGTCAATTTAAAATAATAAAACGCCTTTGAGAACCTGATTGACTGGTACAAAATCAGTTTGTGGCTCCACTGCAGCTGCGTCACGTAACCGAGGGCAGAATTTATAAAGGCATCTGCATTTCCAATGGTCAGAGCTGAGTTGAGAGGCTGACCATGTTTGCTGGTGTTATGCACTGAAGCCATATTGAAATTTGATAACTTTTAAAGAAAAAGGAAAAATGAGAGGCTAATGCTCGAGGGATAGCAGATGCTGGTGTTTGGGGACTTCTTTAAAACCCTGTTTCCTATCAGCATTTAGCAAGTGGCTTGCTTGAAGCCCCTCCTGCATCTTGTTTAAGGGCACCGTATAGAACGGGGAGCATGTGTTACTACTCGGTGAATCATTTTTCCAATAGAAACTGAGTCAGGGTTCTGACACGCAGCGTTTCCAAACCCTTGAACAGCACCCACGGCACCCCGATGATGAAATAACATCCTGGTGAAATTTAAAATAAGAATGACAGTGAAGTTCAGCAATTCTAATTTCCTGCAAACAGCCTCCTGGGAAAAGCGTCCGTATAAAGTGAATGCCCTTTAGGACCTCCGTCTCTTCAAACGAAGGGTTTCCTTTTACGTCAGATCCATCCTGCTATCCCGTGAGTTTTCACGTAGGTTATTGCAGACGAAGGACTCTCCTGATCGAAAGACAAGAATCAGTGTTCCTTTTTCTTGCCGATCATAGTTCATCATCCCGGAGGCTGAAGAAAATCCTAGGACCATTCTCACTCCGTGTGTTCAGATTTATTTGTATGAACGGTCTTCATGCAAAGGGAGTTCAGGATATTTAGAAGCGCCTTTCCCTTGACATGAGGTTCTTCTCAGTTGTGGTATGAAAGGAGACGTGGTGGGGACCAGGCCAGGCACTTGTGCGCAGAAGATGGTGCCCTACATTTTTAAAAAAAATCATTTTATTAGGGGCTCATACAACTCTTATCACAATCCATACACACATCAATTGTGTAAAGCGCATTTGTACATCATTCT